GTCTTGAGGCAAAGGAATCGTCCTGATTGTATTTCCGCATGCTGGTAGTTCCTAGGGTGTGGCAGCCGGTAGATACAAAAGAGTCAGTAGATGCTAAAAGAAAGGCTTTGCCAGCATCAATCAAGCTGTTTCGACGGCCCGGCGTTGTTGCACAGTAGCAGTGCCATCAGCGGCTCTGAGGTCAGACTACAAACCGAGCTACATACTTGAGCAGGAATGGGAGGCTAAGCAGAAGGCGGGAGCACCGGTGATATTGCCATAATATTATCATGAGTGTCATGACTCGAGTCATGACTGTTTGGCTTGCCTCACGACTTGACGAAGGCATGTTTCCGTCGAGATTTTCCGTCTGCATTTGCATGAAAGGCCATAGAAGAGAAGCGGCGGAAGAGGTGGGAAAAGAAGATGGAGAGGCCATAGAGCCTACGCCTTACATAGCAACACCAGAGGGGCGCTCTATGTTGCGCTCAAGCCAGGCGACGTCAGGCCGAAGAGGAAGGGAGGCCCTTGGATGAGGAGGATGATGACTCCTCTGCCTCGTGCCTGCAACGAGGGTTTAAGGGTTCAGGGTTTCGGACTGCTTGGGGTACTTTGCCCAGCAGAATGTGCTCGACATCCAGGTGACAAGTGATGCCACAGATGACGAAGAAGAGCTGCCCACGGAATGCTTCGAGTGTGGTGCCGCCCGTCCCAAGCTGTGTTTACTAGCTAGGGCGCCCAAAGGATCCCTGTTTATGCTTGTGATGTCCGTTATTCTCACTGACATAAAGTAGCGACTCAACACACCGAAACAGCGACAACCAATTCCAGGAATACACTTTGCCGAAGTTCTTTACTTCGACGATATACTTAATTTTTGGAAATCACACGCAATCTCTCAACAAACTGCTGGCAGAAATCGAGAAAGAATCTTGGTATTACAACATGAAACTCAGCTACGAGAAATGCATCAACCTGACAACCCACAGACGTACATCAACCATAAAATACCGAGATGGCACGAAGGTACCGCGCAAACAGCAAGCTGTGTACTTGGGATCTCCCCTCACAGACAGTGTCAACAACAATGCAGAAGATCTTAATCGAATAGCTATGGCCTTCAAAACAGCCAAGCAAATGAAATGTTTTGGAACAAGGCAAATACTAGCATCAAATGGAAGTTGCAGATGTTCAATGCACTTGTAAATTCAAAGATATTGCACGCGCTTGAATCGATACAGCTGACGCAAACTGAGCTGAAAAAGTTGGATGCCTTCCGAATTAAAAATTCAGACGAATCCTAAAAATTCCACCCGCTCATGTTGATAGAACCCGAACTTACAACAGTGTCAGGAACAAAATCAAAAATTGGAGTTCGGAATGCTGGAAAAGTCAAAAGATGAAATTACTAGGACACATTCTCAGGGCTGACAGGTACGACCCGCTAAGACAAACAACGAAAGATGCCTTGAGAGCATGCGGAAAGCCACCCGTAAACATACCGTCAGATCTCGATCTAACCCTCCCACAAGACACTGCAAAGAACCGTCAAGCCCCATTCTAAATAGACATGATGAACAAAGCAACCAATCATTCGCCAAAACACACGCTTTGAAGAGCATCGAAGCACAGAAGATTGGACAATTATGTCCAAATCAGCCTACGGGCTTACAAAGTGATGACAAAGTAGTTCACTGGTTTGCCACGAGTCTCTGATTACATGCCCCTTGTACAGAGGATTTGGCGTTGTGTGAGTGAGAATGGACCCAAACCCTAAGCCCTAAGCCCTAAGCCCGAAACCCGAATCCCGAAACCCTAAACCCTAAACCCTAAACCCGAAACCCTAAACCTTAAACCCTAAACCCTAAACCCTAAACCCTAAACTCAAAAACCCTAAACCCCAAACCTGCATCTCCCTCAGGAATCCTGGAAGCGCTGCAAGAGCATCGCGGTCCAAACTGTTTGCGGGCACTACTTCTGCGAGGACAGCGCAGCAGAGTGCAGCTTTGCAATGCCCGTGCAGAGAGGGGGGGGCTTTCCGATATCAGGGTATCTGCTGACCTGAACAGTAACAGCATGTCTCGATTCGATTGGGAGTGCATGGGGTACCTTATTGGGGCCCGTATAAGAAGGGGATCCTACTATTTGGGGGTCTATTTTCGGGGTCCCCTATTTTCGTAAACCCCCATATCATGGGATGCAGTGGTAGAAACTTGGATACTGTGGTATATAACAGGGTTCTTCCGTATTTGCTAAACCACATACATGATAGCATGCACACGCACATGCACACGCGCATGCGCGCACACACACACACACACTCACGCTCAACACACTTGCGTAACTTGTGTATGTGCATGTGCATGTGCATGTGCATGTGCATGTGCATGTGTATCTTGATATGTATGTTGATGTGTATGTTGATGTGTATGGGTATGGGTATGTGTATATGTGTATATGTGTATATGTGTATGTGTGTATGTGTGTATTTGTGTATGTGTGTATGTGTGTATGTGTGTATGTGTGTATGTGTGTATGTGTGTATGTGTGTATGTTGGTATGTGTGTATGTGTGTATGTGTGTATGTGTGTGTGTGTGTGTATGTGTGTGTGTGTATGTATGTGTGTGTATGTATGTGTGTGTATGTATGTGTGTGTATGTATGTATGTATGTATGTATGTATGTATGTATGTATGTATGTATGTATGTATGTATGTATGTATGTATGTATGTATGTATGTAATGCATGCATGCATGTAATGTATGTATGTATGCATGGATGTATGTAATGATAGTAATGTAATGTAATGTAATGTAATGTAATGTAATGTAATGCAATGCAATGCAATGCAATGCAATGCAATGCAATGCAATGCATGTATGTATGTATGTATGTATGTATGTATGTATGTATGTATGTATGTACGTGTGAAGTAGTACACAGATGTCTCTGCACATGCTATTCTCGTTTTGCCCATATATGTATATGTATATGTATATGTATATGTATATGTATATGTATATGTATATGTATATGTATATGTACATGAGATGTATATGCATATGTATATGTATATGTATAGGTATTTGTATTTGTATATGTATATATTATCCTGCATGAATACAGACACACATACATAATGTATGTATCATCGCCACTGCGTACCATGACTTCCAATGGAGAAAGCGTTTCTCCGTGCTTTTCTAAGAGCTACCAACCATAAGCATCGTATGCTCCAAAAATCTCAGTCTTTGAGTTCTCATTCACAGGACTGCGCAATGGCTGCCTTTGCCAAGTCCGACAAGTGCATTAGGCGAGTGAAGGGCAAATTTCGGAGGACCGGTGTTTCTGGCTCTGAGCCACGTCTCAGCCGAGAAGGGAAGAGTCCCGGGGAAAGTCGCGGTTGCGGGGATTGAGATTCCAAGTCCTAAACCCTAAAACCCTGACCCTAAACTCTGATCCTTAAGTCCTAGACTCGCCCCCCCCCCCCCCCCAAAGAAAAAAACACACAAAAAATAATCCTCTCTTGGTAGAGACTCTCTGGGGTTGGGCTCCAGGCACACTCTGCGGCTGGGCACTCCGGGGACACTCTGGGGTTGGGCACTCCAGGGCGACTCTGGGGACACTTTGGGGTTGGGCACTCCAGGGAGACTGGGCACTCCTAGGACACTCTGGGGTTGGGCACTCCAGGGAGACTTGGGGACACTTTGGGGTTGGGCACTCCAGGGAGACTCTGGGGTTGGGCACTCCAGGCTCGAGATCTCGACACTTTGGGGGATGAGCGCGGAGTAGACAGGGCGAGGAGAAGAGTTCCGGGCCAGGAGAAGTGTTGAGTTTAACATCTAGCAACCCACACACCGAGGGTGGGGGGGAAAACCCAGAAACCGAGGCTTCAGTGCCGAAGTATGGGCCGTTCCCTGCAGGTGTGGGGCGAAGACAAACGGCATCTTCAACTCTGAGACTTGACGTTTCTGGGGGGAGGGTTTACGGTTTCGGGTTTAGGGTTTAGGGGTTTAGGGTTTCGGGTTCAGGGTTCAGGGTACACCCGAAACCCCAAACTCCAAGAACCAAGCCACCTCAGCGTACTCCGAGGCCGACACGCTGCAAGAGAAGCTGAAGGTGGGGGGGGGCAGAGGAGGAGGGATACAGGGTGGGGAGTCGCCCTCCGCAAACTGGGGATTCCCTGAAGGTGCTACTGCTTAAAGACCCAACGGTAATCTCTCTCTCTCTCTCTCTCTCTCTCTCTCTCTCTCTCTCTCTCTCTCTGTCTCTCACCCTACACAAATACATCCATAGTGACATGCTGCTACAATGGTCATAGACATAGATATGAACCCACCGCCCCGTGCTTCGTGGAGGCGAAGAAGGAACGCCGGGCCGAGCGGAAGCGAATGAAAGCCACCAAGCGGAGGGAGGCAAGGGTTTAAAGGGTTTAGGGTTCGGAGTTTCGGGCTTAGGATTTAGGGTTTCGAGCGAGGGCAGGTTTCCCTGTCCTGCGCAGCGCAGGCTCAGAACACCTTCGGCGTGAATGTCGAGGGAGGCAACCTTGTCTGAGTCCTCCATGTGAGTGCAGGATCCGAGTTTCCGGTACGCGAAGCTGGCGGCTCTCATGGGCCGTGCCCCATGGCCGGCCCCTACTCTGCGGGATGAACGTGTCTCGGAGAGCCCCAGCCTGGGCGGTCTTGAAGACTGCCTGCTGGATGCACCACGTCGCGCCGCATTTGATGGCGCGCAGATGGTGCCACCACTGACATCGGTGCACAGTGAGCAGATGGAAAATGCCGCCAGCTGTCATCCATCGAGCCGTTACTTTCTTGTTGTTTCTTTTGCTGCGTCCAGTCCCTGACGTGATACATCTGGTGCCTTCTTGAAACCCGAGCGGTTGTCAGTGGAATATTTGAGATACCTGCTCGCATACTTTCTGATAGCTCGCTGCCACTCGGTAGCTACGGGTGTTTAACCCTTCCCCGGCAACCCTGTATCCCTAGAAGCTAAACTCCATACACCAAGCCCCTCGCAGGTGCACTACGTCAACGACGCTGATCGCGGTGTGGTGTGGGAGGAGGTGATCATCCTACTACCACCAGAGGTGCCGCTTCCAGCATGTCGTGGCAGGTGGTGATTGTGTAGGGGCTTCCTCCCCGAACCAAACTCCAGGCACCTGGGCTCCTCTTAAACGTCTTAACCCTGAACCTTCAAATTGTTCCGGGCAGGTGTCGATTGTGATGCTCTCAGCCCGGGGCCCCGGGGCAGTGACTTGAGCTTGTGGCGAGTGTTCTGATGCGACCAGCGATGTGGTGATGGAATGGTCTGCATCCTCAAATGAGCATCTCTTATAACCCTGGACTCCAAACCGCCCCCGAAACCCTAAAAATCCCTGAACTCAACACCCCTAAGCCCTAAACCCTAAACCCTAAACCCCAAACCCTAAACCCTAAACCCTAAACAACCGCCCCCGAAACCCCTAAAATCCCTATAAACGCCAGGCCACGGTCCCGAACTACCGGGACTTTGCTGGCTGGGTCGGCAGGACCAAGAGGAGTCCTGTGTGCCCCGGAGCCATGCCAAAGAGCTTCGCAGGGTTTAGGGTTTAGGGTTTAGGGTTTAGGGTTTAGGGTTTTGGGGTTTGGGGTTTGGGGTTAGGGGTTTAGGGTTCAAGGGTTTAGGAGTTGAGCTAAAAGGTGCAAGACCATGTTGTGGGGGGTATGTTCGGGGTACCCCCTTTTTTGGGGCAAACTCCCAAATGTCCGGCTGCCAGGTACACTGTACATACAACTTATCGACCAACACCGCTGCGCCCGGCTCTCAAAGGGTGCTCCTGGGTCGAAGGCATACCTTACACGTGCTTTGCCCAAGGACACTTTCTCAGCTTTCGTGGTCACGTCATTCCCCTGATGGATCATGAGGGGTCGAAGGCTCAGGTGCTCTGACTGAATCTTGAATCTAAGTCGAAGTCCTTGGCATGTTCGCACCGTTTTCTTCCTCACAAATCTGCGAACGAGGAAAGCCTCGTTTGTCGTGCATCACACTGCGCCTGTACTAGTCTGAAAGGTCACTTTGAAGGTAGTCATCCTTGGATCCGTATGATTAGGGTTTAGGGTTTAGGGTTTAGGGTTTAGGGTGTCTTGTACACTTGACTAAGGCAAGCTTGCGTGGCTGCTAGACTTGACTGCTGCGCCGTGATGCAGCCTTATCGGCTGTAGCATCACGTATCAGACATGGTCCTAAGCAGACGTGAGCCAGAACGGACAAGTTTCTCCACCAAAGCACGTGTGCATCATTGTGCAGTCGCATCTCAGACCCAGTAAGTGGTTTTCTTGCTGCCAGTACCGAGAGCTACCGGCGCCATGGCGATTGAGACCAAAGTCATCGATGGCAAGGCGATCTCTGCGCAGGCAGGGAGTTCTCCATGGGAGGGTTTTCAACAACATCATGGGGGCTCTGTGGGTACTGTACGATACACCCTCCGCCACAACAAACAAAACAAGGAAGAACAACAAACAAGAAAAAAAAACACAAAAGCAGAAAGGAAACCACAAGAGAGATAACCAAGGACCTTCATTAAGGCGACCTACCCAATGCCCGCCTTTTGCAGCTCCAACACTCCAGGTCCGCGAGGAGGTGAAGGACCTTAGCGCCTCTTGGTCCCGGAGTTTCGAAAAAGCAAGATGGACAGGGTTTAGGGCGTAGAATCTGAGTCTTAGAGCTGAGGGTTGAGGGTTGAGGGTGAGCTCAAATCTAAGTGGCAGTTGGTTGGGTGTTTCCTGTCGATTCTAGCAGGGGGGGGGCGGGGATTGTATGCATGGAGTGCATGCAGGTTTGCAACCCTTAGTTGCGCCTGCCTCACGCTTGAGATCACCGGAAAAAGGGAGAGACCCCGATCAGGAACCCCTATATATTGCTACTCCGAGATGTTTTGAGAGGCGGAGGGGAGCGGGAAGAAGGGGAGCAGCGTGACCCCCAGGCCCAGCTCAAGGCCGAGCATGGTGTGGTTCCCGGCCTCGCCGTCATCCTGGTGGGCGCGCGCAAGGACTCGCAGTCCTACGCCCCGCGGCCGAAGTCTCATGGGCATTCTGTTTTTTTTTTTTTTTTTTTTTTTTTCCGCGCCCCCGCGATGGCTCAAAGGTGCGCAACAAGAAGAAGGCCGCTGAGGAGGCTTTGGGAGTCCGTGGGTTTGCTTTGCTGGAAGAAGAAGAGGCAGGGGGACTGTTTGCTGCTTGCTTCTGTTGAGGTGGGCTTCCACACCGTGGACCTGACCCTTGACGAGACGGTCACTCAAGAGGAGAAAGCCTTTGGAGTTACTAGTAGCTACTAGTATGGCGGAGTTACGATCTTGAGTCTTGAGCGACAGAAGAGACGTTGCCGAATCTCAGCAGTTCTGTCATCAGCAGGTGATGCCCTGTCCGTGCACTGGTCAGGATCTTTTGCGGGAGGTCGAGAAGTTGAATGCAGATCCCAAGGCAGCGCCAAGATGAACCTTACCCTGGCCGTGAGTAGGATGAGAGGCTCTGTATGTTCAAGGTTGAGGGTTCAGGGTTGAGGGTTTAGGGTTTAGGGTTTAGGGTTTAGGGACCACACTCTTGTGATTCGAGGTGCATGCCATCCTGGTGCAGCTCCCGTTGCCTGAGCACATCGACGAGGCGCTGGTGCTCAGCAAGATCCGCGTGGACAAGGCAGGGTCAGGATCGTTCAGGGTTTAGGGTTTAGGGTTTAGGGTTTAGGGTTTAGGGTTTAGGGTTTAGGGTTTAGGGGTTCAGGTGCTTAAGATCTGGTGAGGACTGTGGAGGTGCGTGCATCACCTGACCAGGATGCTGATGGCTTTGCGGCTGAGAATGCTGCCTGAGCTGCACAGCCACAGCTGCTGCCTGACCTCCCCAACACACTATTACCCTAAACCCTAAACCCTAAACCCTAAACCCTAAACCCTCAACCCTAAACCCTAAACCCTAAACCCTTCATTACTACGACCCAGGTTGGGAACCTTTGCCTTCGTGGAGGTCTGCCACCTTTGGCGGCTGCTCGGCAGGGTAATCATGCTCGGCTTAGGAGAGAGCCCCCCAGCCAAGCAGCTCGAAGGCCTCGCGTCCGGTGAATGTTAGGGTTTAGGGTTTAGGGTTTAGGGTTTAGGGTTTAGGGATGTTTAGGGTTTAGGGTTAATTTCTCGTTGCCCCTTTGTGGGGCTGAGGTGCCCTGCACCCCTGCGGGCTGCATCGAGCTCCTCCAGAGAAGCAACGTCCAAGTGGCGGGGAAGCTGGCGGTAGTTCTCGGCAGGCGCTGCAAAGCAGCATCCGGTGTTTAGAGCCAGCAAGCTTCGTGTTCGATGCCAAAATCTCCTACTTGGAGGTTCATGGTACTTCTCAACCCGTTATAGCTGTACTTTTCGCTGTTCTTAGAACCATATTAGGGCACTCCAGGGGCTTAGAAGTGGGTTACGAATACAGTTGTAATTGGTTAAGATGTACCATGAACCTCAAAGTAGCTGCCTAGCTGCGAGCTGAAGTGTCGATGAGATGAGCAGGTCCAACATTGTGGGCATGCCGGTCGCGCATATTCTTCAGTCCATGGACGCAACGGTGACGGTGTGTCACTCGCGGACCCCTGATATGCAGTTCCACTTGAAGCACGCGGACATCGCCTCTCGACGGGGAGTGTGACTTGTGTTGGACATAATACAAATACTGGATTATTTAGTCGTTGCGTACTATACATAATATTCATAGTATTGATTATTTTCATTAAATTCCGACATGTTTAAGGTCATCAAGAATTTGTAAATATATGGCCAATACGACCTCCAAGGTTGTTGCGGCCATTGGCAAGGCGGAGTTCGTTCGTCATGCCCTGAGTTGAAGGGTATCTGGGAATGTTAAGGGTGACAGAGCTCTGTGGCAAAAGGGCTTGTAGGGGGTTTGTAATAGGGCTTATAGGGGTTATTTATGTAGGGTTTTTGTAATCGGGGTTATAGGGCTCTCTGTCTCTGACATGCACAGGGTCGTTTTGGGAATTCCAGCTAGAGAGGTCCAGCTGAAGCTAGAGATCGGCCCAGGTGGCGAGTGGCTGAAGCCCGGTTGCGTTGTGATCGACGTCGGCATCAACGCAGCACCTCGTCGACTAGCTGTTCCTGGTGCTTCCTTCACAACAGTCGTTGTACTCAGCACATCCAGCCAGCTGAGATTGATGACGAAACGAAGAAGCTTGGGTATCGATTGGTCGTGGCCTTGGAGAGCGTAACGGGGAGCAATGCATAGCCCCCTTGCAATGGACGGCCATGCCACTCACTGCGGGCCACTTGTGCCTGCAGACCTTCAAATGCGAAACCCCGACCATGGCCCCAAATCCTAAACTGAGTCTTAAACCCCTAAGCATGACTCGGGCACTGGACACCCTCAACCCAACCCGCCCCGGACGCTACTTCCCCCCCCCCCCCCACCCCCAAAAGAAGACGAAACATGCACGGTTCCCACACACTGGAAAACAAGCTCGCAGCCCCCAACGTTTCACTTGAAGCCGACGGCGAGGTGGGAGATGTGAACTACCAGGAGGCCCAAGGAGCGCCTCGGTCAGAATGGACGCCGTGCCTTTTCGCCCTATAGGGTTGGGCTGATCCCCCTTCCCCCTATTGCAATCCCCATTTGAGGACTCTTAGTATAAGGGGGAACATCCCAACCGTTTGGGGTCCATAGACCCAAAACCCTCTTGAACCTTCAGCCCTAAAAACCTTGAGCCTTAAACCCTTAGCCCCTTAAACCCTTAGCCCTCAACCCCGAAGGCTCTGGGTTGCTTGGGATGTGGGGGCTTCGTTATGCTGCCAACGCGCTAAGCCCCAAACTCCCCAAACCCTAAACGACACTCCCCAAAATCCCTAAGCCCGAAACCAACGGGGGGGTTTCAGGTTGCATCCCAGATCACTCCGGTGCCCGGTGGCGTCGGCCCGATGACAATCGCAGGGCGCTCAGGATAGTTTGGGCATCATGGAGGGTTGCTCTCTATTCATCAAAATCTACTTTGGGGGGAGCTAATTTACAACCTTTGGACGGCCCTGGTTGTATCCTGCCTCGTCCGAAGTGCCCGACAGGAGAAGGACATTTGAGCGCCCGTGTGGGGTGTACGAAAACAAGAGACCCCCGAATTAGTTTAGGGTTTAGGGATTAGTTTTTGGGAGATTTCTTCATATAGTTTTTGAATTAGTATAGGGTTCCCTTAATATGGGTACCCCCGGAGTTCGGAAGTCCCTGTCCGTGGGCTTGTGGCTAGCAAGGCCATGTTGATGAAGAACACCCTGAACTTGGCGCGGCACAGCCTCGACCTCCCGCGCATTCCCTTGCGACGCCCTTCGGTGTCGAAGAGTCCTGAGGCCACGGCAGAGCCGGCCGGCGGATACAAATCTTGATATCGTTTTCTTGCGGGCCCCTCCTCCCTCCCCCTTCCCCACCCCCGCAAGAAGAGCATAAGATGCAGTGCAACCACAGCACCTTCTTATCTAGAAGCACGTGAGGCAATCGATTCTGCATCATGTGTGGGCTATCCTGGCTTTGAGCAGTGGAGTGTCCAGCATTACGATAGTCATCATGCTGCCAGTCGTGTGTCGGCCATTGGCCATGATGCTTGCCGGAAACCACAGGCACAACCCAAAGCTTATCCCGATTTAACAACTAGTAAAGGCATTTGAAGAGAACGGCCCAACACTAATTACTTTAGAAATGCGCCCATGCGCTTTAAATGGTCTCACCATAAGCCGCAGGAACGCGCAAGAGACGATGGCTCCGAAAAGAAGATAGCACTCCCACCGTGACTGCGGGTCGCTATTGCTTCGTACCACGCTCTCTTTTGATTCTGCCACGGCCCGCTCGCTTTGACTCAAATTTCGGGCACGCTGAAACCCCCAACCCAGCTCATGCCACGTTGCATCCATGGAGCTGCCAAAGGGTGAGGACCTGGCCGTCGTGGTCTCCTGCCAGGCGAGCTCGAGCAGCGACTTGTCTGTCGCTTCCACGCCCCCGCCCTCCACACACCCTAAGCTGCAGCAGGGCGCCCATGTGGGGGGTATTCTGTTCATGGCCCTTATCTTCAATTCTCATGCAATACAGAGCCTGCTATTTACATACCCCAACAACAGGCACCAACATGTCGAGAACTGCTCATGTCGATTTGGGCATTTCCCAAAATAGGGGTACCCCGTTTTCCCCTAACATAGAATCCCCTTAAAGGGACCCCCAAAAATAGTACCCCTGTTTTCCCACATTTTCCGCAGGGGCAGAACGTCTGGGATGCCGCCGTCGCCTCCCAGGCTCTGCGCACAAAAGTCCAGGCATCGGAGCAGCAGCATAGGCCACCTCCCCAGTGTGGACCCTGAACCCTAAACCCATCCTAAACCCTAAACCCTAAACCCCAAACCCCAAACCCTAAATCCTAAACCCTAAACCCTAAAACCCCAAACCCTAAACCCTAAATCCTAAACCCTAAACCCTAAAGCCCAAAACGGCGCGGCGCTCCCTGCCGTCGACAGGAGGTGACCAGCTCGGACTTGCCGCCGGCCTTGTTGCTCGAGGCGGGCTCTCTCGGAAGTTCCGAAAACTCTAAGGGAGGTGACATGGCCCCTGGAGGGTTTAGTTCAGGGTGCAGGGTTTAGGGTTCAGAGGGTTTAGAGTTTAGGCTTTGGGGTTTAGGGGCTTAGGGGCTTAGGGTTTGGGGTTCGGGGTTTGGGGTTTAGGGTTCAGGGTTTAGGGTGTCTCAATGAAGGTTGGACCTTGGGTTTCCTGCCTCCAGCCTTCTTATCCTGTACAAACCCTACATAAACCCTGAACCCTAAACCGAGTTTTGTGGAGCTTTATGACAATCTGGGTCTTAGGAATTGAGAGTTGCGGGGGGGGGGGGGGGGGGGGGGGGTCCTGGGTTTGGGTTTGCGGCTTTAGGCATTTAGGCTTTGGCGCCTTTGAAGCTGCGGTTTGTGTTGCTTTGCATCTCTTTGTTGAAGCCATGTCTTGGGCTGGGCCGCAAAGCCCCGCAGGCCTAAGCTGAAGATGCAGCAGGAGGAGTGGATTTCAGGTTCGGTGTGAAAGGGTTCCACTTGCCAAAAACCGCAAACCTTCAACCCTGACAGTACCTCCAGACTCCAATGCTGATATGGTAGCTGGGTAGGGTCCCCTTTATACCCACAAATTTGGCAAAATCCCTCTTTGAGGAAACGCACGCAAAACCGGAAACGTGCAGCGAGAGATTTCCTGAGACCAGGCTGGCAAGAACGGCGATACTGTGTCCGTGGTGTCCCTGACGCAGAAGAACAAGGCTTCAAGAGTTTTCGCAAAGTCAGAAGCAAGAGGAATGCCCCTTCGACAAGACGGGTTCTAAGAATTCGTATCATCTTCATACCCCCGATATCATCAATCCACCCTTCACAATGGCACTCCAAGAAAGTGACTCCCCAAGACGCTCCCTGCAGTCAGACCGCGGGGTCGGTTTCCTGGTGTGCCTCAAGATGCCCCCCCTAAAGCCTAAACCCTATAAACCCTAAAGCCGAAGCCCTAAACCCTAAGCCCTAAACCTTCTTCTGGCTGGCTCTTAGGACTTTAACCTTTGGGTTTTTGGTAGAAACTACAACGAGGAGCCTAGAAGTTAAACTTTTAGGAGGGGTTCAGAAGTCAGCCAAATCTCTTGGGGTCAACCTTAAGCCCTCAAACCACTGTTGAAACTCTGCAAAGTGCAGTCATCCTCTTGGGGTTTTGAGGGCTAACAAAAGCAGCTCTGAAGGGGCAGTTGCGAGCAGCACATTGTTGTTGCACCATCGCCGTCGCAGCTGTCGCGCCTGAAGATAAACGAGATCACGCGTGTTCGGCCCTTCGCCCCTCTGGCAAAATCGCTGTGCTTTTTGGGATCCTAGCTGCCCCCAAAACCCTACACAAAAAGCTTTAAGCTTCCTAAGCCCCAGACCCTACTTCATCCCACGGCTTGGGTTTCGAGCTTCGGGATCTCAGGGTTTAGGTTCCAGGGCTTAAAGGGGTTTCAGTGTCTAGGGCTTAGGGCTTAGGGCTTAGGGCTTAGGGCTTAGGGCTTAGGGCTTAGGGCTTAGGGCTTAGGGGTTTTCGGGTTTACGGTGCAGGTGCTCTGCACCGTGAAGGGCATCCCAGCGGCCGTGGCGGCCTTAACCTCCGGCGGGGCAGCTGCCGCATCCACGCAGGCACAAGGGCACCGGGTGCCCGAAGTCCGTGGGATGATAGGGTTTAGAGTTTAGGATTTAGGGTTTGGGGTTTGGGGTTTAGGGTTTAGGGTTTAGGGCGCAGGGATGCTGAGGCTCTTGGGGCTCAAGGTTTGCAGGGTTCAAAGTTCAGGGTTGAGGGATTTAAGCTTAGGGTGTACGATGTACTGCCGAAATCGTGCCGCCAACATGACCAACGTGGCGGGTCTTGCTTTGTACTTGAAAGGCCGGTTCTGCGAAGCTTCCCTCCGGCGAAGTTGCCCTCGTGGTTGGCTGCAAGGGCAACGTCTGGGAGGCACTTGCTCCCCCTAAACCCTAAACCCCAAACCCTAAACCCAAAACCCTAAACCCTTGCAAACCCTAAACACTACACCCGAAACCGCGTAAGCGTGCCGTGTGATCACCTTGGTGGCACCGAGGCAGCAGTGTCTGCAGGCCGCCTCCGTGAGAAGATGAAGGACTGGCTGTCAGCTCGGATGAGTCTGCTCAAGGGAAGCTGCTTGAAGGATGAGGTTAATTGATACTCGGGAACCTGCAGGCCCTGTCCGGGATGGATGCCCTGCCACCAGTGGTGATGGAAAACGCACCGGCGGATGGCGTGTCCGTGATAGCCCTCGGCAAGGCCCCGGTGCAGTGTTTGGTCCCTGCCTCCGATGTCCCAAGGGTGCATTCCCACATCCCGAGTTCCTGACATCCTAAAAAGGGCCCCTAGGAGGCCCTATAAGGCCCTGTAAGGCCCAAAAAAGGAGCGCAAAGTGAACGGGCCTTGCCGCGGCAGGACATCAAGCACTCCAAGGTGGTTTGCAAGGCCGCGGCCGTCAGTGAGGCGTTGGCAGCCTTCGGAGGCTAGACTGCTTTTGGTGGCAGCTCCTTTTGAGCCGTTCCCGTTTCAACTTTGAAGAGATCGTCTTTTGTGGGGGCCGTTTCAAAACTTAGAGCCCTTAAGCCCCCGAACCCCAAACACCCGCGCCGAGAACATTTGAAAAGCGGCACGGCGAACGCAGTGTCGCGCCTTCCCGAAAGTCCAAGACAAGCTTGTGCCACAGAAGTTGCCACAGCTTCGCAACTTTTAAGTTTTCAACGAGCCGTTGGCCCCCGGCCGATGCAGTGCTGCGTTGGAGACAGTGGAGCCATACCCCGCAACAATCCGAAAATGCTGTCGGAAGCCGCCTTGTGTGGGGCTGCCTATTGTCTTTCTCGCCCTTCGCCCATCTTCGCCCCCTCCCCCCCCCCCGCCCCCCACCCATCCCCAAGCTGTCGTTGCGGTGCTTCAAGGTTCCATTCCGAAGCGTTCCAGCGCACGCGAGACCTGCAAAACGAGAAGGCCACATTGTGTTATGGGCTGGCATGTGGAAGTGCTCTGTGCGAACCCCGTAAATGGAAGTTCCCCTAAGCCCAATAGAAACCTAGAATCTAGACCCTAAACCCTAATCAAACCCTAGACCCGGTATGTATGTCTGTCTGTATGTATGTCTGTATGTCTGTATGTATGTATGTATGTACGTATGTATGTATGTACATATGTATGTATGTAACCCTAAACCCTAAACCACTAAGAATCACTCCAAGACATCCCAACAGCCGACCTGAGAGGCCAAAGCAGCTCCTCGGCCCAACCGCCGGGTCTCGGCAGTGGCCCTAGAGAGCACTGGCTCTGTCTTGCTTTTTGGGAGCAGCGTGACTCATGTGACCGCTCGGTTATCACTCTTGATGTTGGGAGGCAGCTCTCGAGCACGATTTAGGTGTGAGTCACTTAGACTCTTTCAGCAAGCGACAGAGAGACAGGTAACTTTCGAGACCCGGCCGTTTGGGATGACACCCTTGAAAGGCGAAGGCATCTGCCCCCGAAGCCGGACGAGAGAAAGAGAGAGAGAGAGAGAGAGGCAGAGAGAGGGGAGGGACGGAGGGAGGGAGGGAGGGAGGGAGGGAGAGAGGGAGAGTGGGAGAGAGGCAGAGAGGGAAAGAGCGGGAGACCCTCTGCGTCTCGGCAGGGAGTCCGACTGCGGGTTATGTTGTGGACAAGGTGCGCCCCCTTGAACTGCTTGTTAAGTTCCATGAAGGTAGGTGGGGATCCCTAAACCCTAACGCCTTCGCCTAAACCCTAAACCCTCAAGCCCTCGTCAGGTGAACCACAATGACCCATCGAAGCCCGCGGCTCGACTGGGGGTGAAGCCTGGTTGGATCGCCCGGCGCCCGGAATCTTCCAGGGAGATTGGCTCTCGACCTGTAGGTGGAAGGGCCCCGAAAGCCCCGAAGAATGAAGCCCAACGTTCCTAGAATTTTCCAAAGAGGGGTACCATCATCCCGGCATCCCTATTCTTGGGTCTGTTAGTATAAGGGGGGAACATCCCAAGAGGGGTACTATAATCCCTATTAAGGACTGTTCGTATAAGCATCCCAAGCACCAAAGCCGCTTGGGCTGCAGGTGGCTTCCGTTGCAGGGGAGGACGTCTCCGATCGGAGCCCCGACGAAGTGCAGCAGCTTACGAAGCAAGCGCCGGCCTCGGGCTCTTTGACTACCGTTTGCTTAAGAACCCCCCCCCCCCCCCCCCCAAAAAAAAAAAAAAAAAAAACGCCTATATTCCGCTCACAAGGAAGATTCTGTTGAGGGGGCGGGGGGTTCTTAAGCCATTCGTAGTTGATGAAGCATACGAGAGACGACGCCTGAAATCGCCTGACACATCCAGGGTCGTCTTGCTTATCACCTCAGGAGGGAGTGGTCCAAGATTCCGGGCAGGGTCTGAACTTGGATGTTTTGGGGCCTGCACAGGTTGAGCTCCCTGTGACGATGGAGTTCGAGGTGGGAGACCCAGCTTTGCTGCAAGAGCTGGTATACCCCAAATAGAATTCAGAGTAGGATCCCTTGAAGGGATCCCCCCAAAAGGGCACCTCTCTTTTCGGACACCGCATTCATGAAACTCATGGCCGTTTTCTTGAAGGTCCCAGTGGTTTCGAACAGAGACCAGAAGGAGACCTCAGCTGCTGCACACGAAGCGTCCCAGCAAAGCGTCTGCTCAAAGTCCCACAGCTTGGCCCAGGAGGGCGCGGCTCATGGTGAAAAACGTATGCCACCCAGCGAGTTTCCGCGGTCTTTCGGGCATCTCGGGGCCTCAAACTCCCCTGAAGCTCAATCGTGAGTAAGCTGCTCAGCTCCACGCCTGATAAGATTAGAAACCCTAAGCCCTCAACACCCCTCAGCCATCCTTCAACACATCCCCAAAACATCCCCAAAACATCCCCGACATCCGAAACCCTAAACCCTAAACCCTAAACCCTAAACCCTAAACCCTAAACCCTAAACCCTTAAACCCTAAACCCTAAACCCTAAACCCTAAACCCTAAACCCCCCAGAGGCCGTGGCGGCCAAGCGCAGAGGGACCAGGCTCCACAGGCGCGCTCCGCGCCGGCGCCCAGCCGCGAGCCCGGGGCCCAGCGAGTTGCGAGTCCAAGGGTGCCGCTATGCTTTTGGGAATTTGGGGTTTAGGGCTTTTAGGGCTTCAGGGCTTTTAGGGCTTTAGGGCTTTAAAGGCTTTGGGGCTTTTAAGGCTTAGGGCTTTGAAGGCTTTGGGTGCAGGCCTTGGAGTATGGGTATTGGCTTGTGCCCTTTGAGTGCCCAAACCACCCTCTGGGCACATTCGGTTGCCCCAGCCCCCAACTACGCCCTTTCCTTGCAAACACTCCTTCAGGCCGTCCTAACCCAATGCCCTTTCGTTACCGAACAGTCCCCACCTTGCAGACTTCCCAATTTGGATCCGCGTGGCTGTTGCTCATGAGGGCATGAGGATCCTGTCCCATGGAGCCTTCTCTTTCGGACATCTATCGTAGAAAGTATCAACAACGGTTTTGCCCAATGTTCAACAACAGTCATGTGGGTACTTAAAATTATGGCCCTTTTGAGTACAGCGCCCTAGCAGGAAGAATGCCATAGCCATAGCGGACAGACCAAAGCGGCGCCCTCCTCGTTTCGATCAATTCCACGTCTCAGACTCAAACAAGGCCGACTTTGCAGAACACCCTCAACCCAAACCCCTAAGCCCCAAACCCCAAGCCCCAAACCCCTAAGCCCCAAACCCCACGCCCTAAACCCGAAACCCGAAACCCTAAACCCTATAAACCCTAAACCCCCAAGCCCTGAACCCTCAATCCTGAGATCGCCGGGAGGTCACGGGAGCGTACGGAGACGCTGCGTCTCCAAGCGCTGCTCAGGACGCCACCTCGCGGCCTTTGTTTTAATAAAGGGGTGAAAAAGTCAGGAAGTAAGAAAGTATATCTGTATGTATAGGTAAGAGAGGGTTTGTGGGTATATGGTTTTAGGGTTCAGGGTTTGGACTTCTTCGGTTTGAGGGTTTGGAGTTTTGAGGTTTTTGTGGGTTATCGGTGAGTGGTTTAGCGGGTCTCAGGGGTGTTGGGGCTCCGGGTTGAAAGGAGCAAGTCGCGGGCTCCATTGCTTCTTCGAGTTTAGGGTAAGCAGGGGGGGGGGGGAAACCTGAAGACGTGTGAACTGCACCGCCCCAGGAGCCTGGATGCTGAGGACAAGCTTCCGGCAACAGTGGGGGGGCCCAGGCAAAAAGGATGATGGCCTGTGACCTTTGCAAGGCATGCGGGAAGCTTTCGTCTTTCTCCAAGAAAGGGCTGGAATTCCTCAGATACACTCTTGCTACTTTGTGTTTGCACGGTGGACATGCGTGCGTCAGAGGTCTTTGTCTTCTCCCGGCGACGGGTGGAGGCTTTGGCGGCGGCCCGGTTCTAAGGCTGTCACAACAGAATAATAGAACAACAACAACAAATAGAATAGAAATCATACAAGAAGTAATAAGATGATAATAGCATTTCAATAGCACAAATAGAAATCATACAAGAAGCAATACTATGATAGAATGACATGTTTCATGTCCAACACGTCTCGATTTGCCTGCCTCCCTGCGCCCAGGACATGCCAAATCTGGATGTCTGCACCGCTGAAGAGAGATCGAAGGCACCGTCCGTGGACTCCAGCCACATCCTGTTATTTCCCAACGATGAACCGTGTTAACCATTGGGAGCATGTTGAGTTCCCAGCTTCATCTGAGCCTTTCATGTGAGCCGCTGTGCCGCTGCACCTGATTTTGCCCCTCCGCAGCTGTTGCATTCTGCAGCTCATGCACGGGCCGGGCTTCATCAAAAGACAAAAAAACAACAATACTAATAATAAAACTAGTAAGAAGAAGAAGAATACTAAACATAATAGTCATAATAATCACAATAATAATGATAGAAACTGGCTTTGTGGGTGACCTGCGCCTTCGACTCCGGCTGTGGACGTAGAGTTCCCGACAGACGGGCAAAGCTCTCCGAGCACACCTTGGGCCACGGGGTCATAATAAAAATATCAATAAGTATATAGTAGTGTTATTATTAGTATAGTACAAATACGAATAATAATAACAGTAGTAATAATAATAATAACAGTAATAGTCGTAATAATAATATAGTAAAAAATAATAATCATAATGAAAATAATCATAATAATAATAATAACAGTAATAGTCAGAATAATAATATAGTAATAATAATAGCAAAAAATAATAATCATAATAAAATAATAATCATAATAATAATAATAATAATAATAATAATAATAATAAGTAGTTTGGTGAAATGGCTACCGCTGGCGAGCTACCGTCGAGGCTCAGGCTGGCGGGGGCTCGGCCCACGGTCGTATACACATGTCCCGAACATGTCTGCTTGCTTTGCCTTCCGCGGGTTTAAGTGCGCACCCCTTCATTGCATGCAGGGTGGTGTGAAGGCCGGAAACAACCCTAAACCCTAAACCCTAAACCCTAAACCCAAAACCCTAAACCCTAAACCCTAAACAAGACTGGACTCCTTTGTGAGCTGCATGGTTTGCTGTCGAGACACTTGCGGTGACTCGACCCGACGGGCTGCAGGGTGGATGACATCATGCTGAGCAGGGCCATGCAGGACCAGGACCTGTTTCAGCATGATGGCAGCTGTCATGCTACCTAGCAGGCTACAAGTAGAGCAATCACAAGAGCGGGTGTGCGTGAGACGAGCGCCGGTGTATTCAGCTCTTTGAAGCGGCTGGTGACCGGTGCCGTTAAGGGCTCGAACCTTCAATCCACGGCTGGAGCCATGGGAGGCCGCCGTGGCCGCGAGGACAGCCGAGGAGCATCCGAAGAGTACGAGCCGCTCAGCCGTCCTTGAGTACTTGACGTGCGTTAAAGCTTCTGTCTCTCCTCGTCCGTCTACGTCCCTCGTGGGAAGTCATCTCCGGAGCCCCCTAAACCCTGAACCCTAAACCCTAAACCCTAAACCCCAAACCCTAAACCCTAAACCCTAAACCCCAGGTATTACAGCGAGTACTCCGTGGACAGCCGCAGCCGGAGCCGCGACCGCCGCAGAGACCGAGACCGGCGCCGGGACCGGGACCGTGGGCGGGGTCGCGACAGGCGCCGCTTTTGAGGGCACGAAAGAAAGAGAAAAGATAAAAGCAAGAACAGTAACACTAGTAACAGTAAGAAGAATAAGCATACTAAGCAATAATAACATTAAGAATCATAGTAACAATAATGATGTTAATCATGATAGTAATAGTAGTAATCATAGTTTTAATAATCATAATGCGAAAAACCAGACAATATTAGTAATTATAATAACAAGAATAATCGAAAGACTGATAAAATAGTCATAAGGAGAATAATGGTAATAACAATGATAATATCATCTCAAGTAATATGAATAATTTTAAGTAAACAAATATAATATTTTTATGTGTCAGCAGAATATTACTATGTAATAGCAATGATAGGTACTTGTGATTCGTGTGCCAGGCAGTCTCGGGAGGTGCGCAGCGCCCTCAAGAGAACCCTATGAAAACTCCACGTGCTCAGGTCGTGAGGCGTCTTCAGGATTAATGTGAGAGTTTACGACGGCCGGTTTACGACAGACCCAACTATAGACCCCCAAATAGCAGGACTCCCTTAGAATAAGGACCCCAAGAAGGTACCCCGAGTTTCGTACAACTACCTAGGGCCCTACGTAATCCCTTAAAGGGTATATATATATATATATATAGAGGGCCCTATATAATCCCTTAAAAGGTATATGTAGGGCCCTAATCCCCCAACCACATGTTGCCCTGCAGGCGGCGTGACCGGAGTCGTGGGCGGCGCGGCCGCGGCGGGGGCGGGGGCGACTGGAAAGACGACCTCGAGGAGTTCATTAGGAAGAGCCTTGGAGTGGCATAGAGGGCCCATGAGGGCCCAGACCATCCTACTTGGCATTCCTTAGGCTCCTCTTGACTCCTCGAGGTACATTAGAGTCTTGGAGAATCAAAGCCCTACATCCCTTAGACATGTCGAAGCTCAACCCTAAACACCCCCCCTAAGCCCCCCCCCCCCCCCAAAGCCCAAAACCACAAGCAGGGGGACCTGGCGTAGCGGGATCAAACCCTAAACCCTAAACCCCAAACCCTAAACCCCAAACCTAAACCCTAAACCCTGAACCCTGAACCCTAAACCCTAAACCGATCTCTTCCGAGGAACGGACTGGATCATCGAACCCAAGACGCGCTCTACGGCCTCGACAAGTCGGTCGCCATGACTGTCATGGGCATGGACGGCGGGAGGAACACGACGCTCGGCCGACTTTTGGGTTTCTGCCTGCAGGGTTTAGGGTTTAGGGTTTAGGGTTTAGGGATTAGGGTTTAGTGTATATTGGTCCACTTGTAGTCGATTGTAATCTTTTATGTTGTGTGTACTTATGTATTCTACTTGGTTATATTATGTTATATCCCTGTGTGACAATGGGTCATATTCTTTATGTATAGTATTCAGATGATACGGTGTTCTCTCTCTCTCTCTCCATATATATATATATATGTATATATATATATATGTGTGTTTCGTGTGTATACACACGCATAGTATATATATATATATATATATATATATATATATATAATGTATGCACACATCTAAACCCGCCCTGTACACCTTAAGCCCTATGCAAGCGTTTCATTGCCTTCCAGCTGAAGATGACCGAAGCCGTCTCTTCCGTCAGGCTGCAGCCCACAACCCTGTTTCATGACTCGTATAGCGCTGTAGCATTCTAGAGCCGTAAACCCGAAAAAGCCCAAAGACAAGAATACAGGAGGGGTCATAAACCCTAAACCCTAAGCCCCAAAACTGCCAAAACCCTACTCGGAGCTCATCTTGATTCAGGTTCCTGCTGGAAGGCGTGCGAAATCCCGACGCCGTCGTGATGTCCCGTATTCGAAATGCAACAGGCGGGGGAAGACGATGAGGCCAATAGATGCCAAAAGCCCTTGCTGTTTTGCGAACTTGGCGCAGCGTTTCCAGGGGCCAATGCCTGTGGGGGATTAGGGCCTCGGATCGGACAAATAAAGCATTGGGGGTTTTGGTGGAGGGGTCTCTGACAACGCCTGCCCAAGATCGTGTGCTTGGAACTTCGATTTCCTTCACGTGGCTTTCGGCATCTGTCCGAGCCATGTTGAAGACCGGCATAGAAGGAGAGGGTGATCCCTTCCCCCATCTCATGTTCACAAGAACAGAACCTACTCTTGGTTTTTCTTGTACTTATGGGGCGTGTGATGTAAGGGGAAAGGGGTCTGTGATTGGCCGTGACGGGTAGTGGATAGAATTGCAGAGTGCGGTGGCGCTGAACGGCTGCCAAACGGCAGGGGTCCTGGCTCCACTGTGTCACATGGGGCCGTTTTCGATATTACGGTCCCCTTCTTGGGTACCCTTAGACGTTATCACAGTGCTATAATGTCAGAAGAAAAATCATAAATAGCTATCCAAAAAGGGACCTTAATTTGGGGAGCCTACCCACATGACTCTTTGACTCTTGGCTCCTCGGCCCTGTCCAGAGGGTAGTTATGAAGCCGGCCGACGGCTAAAGCTACGCTGCCTGTCAGTTTTGACAGTTCAAGGGGGAAGCTTCAGGGGAGAACCCTAAACCCTAAACCCTAAACCCTAAAAGTCTTAAACTATGGGTTTATGCTGAGACCACGTGGCAGATTGTTGCAACGGATGAGAAGAAATTGCAGGCAGAGTGACGAGACATGAATGGAATGTCGAGCAGTGAGCTTCTGCTGTTGCGAAATATTATAGAAAAGAATTTTACGCAGACATCCACTTTCTTCCGATATTGCATTGCCACCCGGCCCGGATGTTGCAAGCATCCCCCTAAACACTAAACCCTAAACCCTAAACCCTAAACCCTAAACCCGGAACCCTAACCCCTAAACCCGCGCAAGGATGTTGAGGCCTCCTGGTCTCGATGGTGACCGCAGTGCGCTGCCCAGGCTCTTGGCTCAGTTTCGATCCGCGGTTCGCGTCTCTCACGTAAGGTTTTTTAGTCTTTACATTCCATGTACTTTAGCCATTTTCTCGGCCATGGTTCGGTTTGAATATGTTTGAATGATGTGGGGCTTTGGGTTTAGGATTGGGTTTTTAGGATGATAGTCAGGCATGGTCGGTCAAGAGACTCTGACACCCTCAGCCCAGAAGGTTTAAAGTCAGGATCGTCTGTCGTCACTGGTCGCTCAGAAGAGCCCAAAGCCCAAAGCCCTGAACCGTAAGATCCCGGGGTGCAGTGGCGAGTCAAGCTCTGCGAATGCTTGGAGATTCCTGGCGCTTCATATTCAGAGTGAGTGCCCGTGGATACCATCTCTCTCGCGCGCCCCCTCTGCCTCAGTCTCAGGCCATCTGGCTGCTGGCAGACTGACATGCGATGACAAGATGTCCTAGACAGGTTACATGCAATGTGTAATAGCTGCATAGCTCAACGCAGGCTTTTGCTCTAAGTGCATTTTCTGCGCGTCCTTTGCTAAGTAGATCGGCTGCCAAAAGAGATCCCTGGCCCCGCTGCGGCAGAAGACCTGCCATCATGCTGGCCAATCAGAAGCTCCTCATTGAGACCATGCAGGCGGTGAACCGCAACAGCGACAGC